TAGAGTGGTTTTCGTTTGAGTGTCGTAAAACCAAAACCAAAGTAATTACTCTGGCCAATCACATAGGACACAGACAATACATTGAACCAATCAAAACTCGAAGTAATTACATGTGGCTGACGCAAAGCGCGGGAAAATGCATGCGAGCGCGTCACAATTGGCTTTGGTTTTACTTCTGATTGGATGAAAAGGTGGCGCGAATCTTTTAAGCCAATCGCATCGTGTAGAAAGTGCAAAACCAATTACTTTTCGACACTCAAATGAAAACCGCTCTATTTGCAGAACAATGTCAATTGTTTCAGTCTCAAACACATATTCATAAATTGATTTGCTCACTCATTCTAAAATACTTATTTCTATAACAACCGTTTTACTTAGAGAACGTCTTGAAAATGTGATGAAAAATTAACAGAGAAGTTTAGGCTGCGCACCAAGATGACTCTTCCCTACTTTGTCGAAGAAATGCAAAAGAATTGTCTTGATTTCCACCTATTTCCCGTGGCGTTTCCTCTCCCTATTGGGCCTCTCCTTTCATCAGAGGCTCCCATTGATTAACAATAGGAAGCTAAAGATCCGACAAAAGGTTTGAACATTTCTTTGTACGAGCACGACGTGAAAATGCCTAATTTCATGTTTTATGGAGGACGAAAACAAGCAACAACGAGATTTTCTTTCTCTTTCTGAACTCGTCTAAGGCTCTTAGGGATTCAGCTTCGGGAGAATCCGCATACATTTGAAAAAGTCGTAAGCGAGTTGGGCTAATCGCAATGAAGATTGGAAAATAGCGAATTCACTTTCTAAGCGACGTTGTCTCAGCCGTTGGCGTTCTCCCATCTTAAGGTCCCTAGTAATATAGAATGTGAGCGCGCGGGGGCCGATGGGAATAGCAAAACTTTTCTTTCCTCTACCCTTTCGTCCCATTCACATTTTCTTTTTCCTCCTTCCCAGCTATTCAGTTTGGAAACGAGGTTTTCTTAAGCAGTCCGTACTCAGGACTTATAGTTAGAGTTACAGTTAACAGTTAAATGCGTTTGCAGCTACTACAGATATTACACCTACTACAATGATAAGTGCTCATTAAAGTCTGTTCTTGACAATAAGTTCATACGATCTAGGAACTAACACGACTCCCACCTCGCCGGTCAGATCTGGTAGTGGTTTCCCTGGCGCTCTTTCAAACTTAAACTGATGAAGCAGCCTGGCGGAAACTAGAAATAACTCCGCTTTGGAGAGGGACTCGCCTAGACATACCCGGCGACCGGCACTAAAGGGCAGGAAACTACGAAACCCCTGGGGGCCTGAGGGAGAGAAATTTCCTTTTTCGTCAAGAAACCGTTCCGGCCTAAACACTTCCGGTTCATCCCACTCATCAGGGTCGTGATGGAGCGCCCATAAGTTTGTCATCACCATGGTATTCTTTGGTATGTCATATCCTGCCAACGAACTGTCCCGTGTTGCTTTGTGAGGAATGGACAGCGGGGTTGTCGTTGCTATGCGCAACACTTCAGCAACGGTGCATTCCAAATAAGGAAGCTTACCTCGGTCTTCCAGACAAGGCTGGCGATCACGGCCAATGACGTCATCTAACTCAGAGTGAACGCGCGCTTGGACGTGTGGGTAATTGACCATATACGATAGTATCCATAGCAACGTTGCTATCGTGGACTGAATACCAGCGTTGAATACGTCATTCATGGTCATAATTAGATGATCCTCGGTCAGCAGTTGCGAAACTTTGTTATCTTCTCCTTTTGCTTCGTAGAATGCGTTCAAAAGTGCATCAGTTAGATCATTTATTTCTATTTCT